TAAATACATCCCAACTCTAGCGGAGAAAGAACTATTAGGTGAAGCAGTCGGGCGCGTTCTGAAACTCCCGGCAGTGGGCTCAAAGTCCTTCTTGATCACGATTGGTGATCGTACAGTAGGCGGCTTGACTGTTCGAGATCAAATGGTTGGCCCTTGGCAAGTCCCTGTGGCGGACGTGTCAGTTACTGCAACGTCTCTTCTCGCTGGAGTAAAGACAGGCGAAGCAATGGCAATGGGCGAAAAGCCCACTCTGGCCCTCATATCCCCGGCGGCCTCTGCGCGTATGGCAGTTGCGGAGTCCTTGATGAACATAGCGGCAGCTAGTATTCCGGATCGATTGGATCGAGTCAGGCTATCCGCAAACTGGATGTCGGCCAGTAATCACCCTGGTGAAGGAGCTGCCCTTTACGAGGCTGTGGAAGCTATTGGGATGGATCTATGCCCAAAGCTTGGTATTAGTATACCGGTCGGCAAGGACTCTATGTCTATGAAGATGAAGTGGAAGGATTCAGAGAGCCAGGAGGGCAAGGAGGTTACTGCCCCAATGTCTGTAATCATATCTGCCTTTGCTCCGGTGGATTTCACGGCACGGACCTGGACACCTGCACTTCGGAGACTCGAAGAGGTTGGAGAGACTGTACTCATATTCGTTGATCTTGCAGAAGGAGCGAAGGCAATGGGTGGCTCTGCTTTAGCCCAAGTCTTTGGGCAGACAGGGAATGAGGCACCAGATGTTCGCGACGCCGATTTTATTAAAGACTTTTACGATGCGATCGAGCAACTGCACGAAGCCGGCATAGTTCTAGCGTACCATGATCGGTCCGACGGAGGTCTCTTCACTACGTTGGCTGAGATGGCATTTGCGGGGCGCTGTGGACTGGAGATTATGCTTGACGATATATGCCGGACATCAGACCCGCGCGACCTTCTGGAAGGCCTGTTCAACGAAGAACTGGGAGCGGTCTTCCAAGTTCGAAAGAAGGACACGATCGAATTTAACAAGTGTTTCGCAACATGTGGGCCCCCTCCGGGCATGATTAAACGGATCGGTCGGGTATCAGCCGTTTCGAAGCAACACATCACATTTACCCACGGTGCTAGGGAGGTGTACCGGAACAGCCGGGCAGCACTTCAGGGGTACTGGGCCTCAACATCTTACCGAATGCAAGGCCTGCGAGATAACCCATCTTGCGCGCAAACAGAATTCGAGAACATAACTGACGACTCGGACCCTGGGATGTCATATAATTTGACGTTCGACCCGAAAGAGAACATTCTTCCGCTGTCCGCTCCTTTGTTCAATGTCTTCAAGTCGAAGCCACGCGTCGCCATCTTGAGGGAACAAGGCGTGAATGGCCAAGCGGAGATGGCATTCGCCTTTTACAGTGCCGGTTTCTCAGCTATCGATGTACACATGACAGACATAATCTCAGGTCGTGTCTCCCTCGCGTCCTTTGTCGGCCTAGCTGCCTGCGGCGGCTTTTCCTACGGCGATGTCCTGGGCGCCGGCCAGGGCTGGGCTAAGTCTGTCCTTTTGCACGAAGCCACTCGCAACGAATTTGCCAATTTTTTCGCCCGCCCCGACACTTTCTCCCTCGGCGTCTGCAACGGTTGCCAGTTTCTCTCACGTCTTAAGGAGCTGATTCCGGGCGCGGATCCCTGGCCCACGTTTGAGCGCAATGAGAGCGAGCAGTACGAAGCTCGCGTGTGCATGGTCGAGGTTATGCCGCATGCTGTGGGCCAAAAGCAGAGCGTCTTCTTCGATGGTATGGTGGGTAGCAAGCTACCCATAGTGGTCGCACACGGCGAGGGGCGCGCCACGTTCCCGGTGGATCCGGCAGCGGGTGGTCGCCCTGAGGGCTTGCTACAGGAGGGCCTTGTCGCGATGCGCTTCGTCAACAACAGGCTGAAGCCTACGGAACGCTATCCGTTCAATCCGAACGGCAGTCCCAAAGGCATCACTGGGGTGAGGTCGCCGGATGGAAGGTGTCTTGCATTGATGCCGCATCCGGAGCGGACGATTATGAAGGAGGTGAGCAGTTGGTATCCGAAAGAAATGGCTCAGAACTGGAGCGAGTTCGGGCCTTGGCTTCGGATGTTTAGAAGCGCTAGACGGTGGGTTGGCTGAGTACTAATCGGGCTATGAGAAGTTGTGAGTTAGAAGTTGAGACGGACCGGTGCTAGCTTTCACCGTGGTTTAGAATGTCAACTAGGGTGGAACGACTCCGGAAAACGGGCTAAAAACCCTACAACGAGCGTCTCTAAGTTTAGATCTCAGAATCGCCTCCAATAATCCAAACCCACGCATTGTGCCAGTACAAGCCGCAGGTTCTAGTGATGAAGCACGCTCGTGAAAAATGCCCGAATTTGTGCCATTCCCCTAAAATGCTATCCCTCTATGCAATTCTTATACTCCAATGCATTCTATCGAATGATAGTCTCATCACGGCCGGGACCCGTACCGATCCATTTCACCGGAACGCCGATAAACTTCTCGATGAACTCGACGTATTTCTTTGCATTGTCAGGTAAGTCGGTCCACTGCGTCACGCCCTTTGTCGTTCCGGTGCCCTTCCATCCTGCAAGAGTTTCGTACACGACTTCAACTTCGGAAAGCTGTTTCAGTGTTGCTGGGAAATTACTGATTGAGTTGCCTTTTCGCTTGTATTCGACAGCGATTTTGATTTCATCGAATTCATCGAGAACATCCAGCTTTGTTAGGTTGAACACAGTGTAGTGATTGATCGCGGTAGAATATTTCACCAGTACGCCGTCTAACAAGACATCAACAAGCTAATCAATATAAATCACGAACCAGTGGGAGACTTACCAAACCAGCCACATCTCCGAGGTCGGCCACTTGTAACGCCAACCTCGTGGCCAACTAACTGCAGAGTTTTTCCAATCTCGTTTTCTGTCTGTTCAGTTGGGAATGGACCACTGCCCACACGCTATGAGTCGAATGTCAGTCAAGTTCACGTGAAAACTCCGACGATAAGTGTCAATACCGTCGTATATGCTTTCACCACACCAATGATCTCATCGATCTGGAACGGCGATATTGAAAGGCCGGTAAAAACGCCGCCGAGACCTGGTTAATTTTAGCATTGGTTGACCATGACTGAATTAGTGAAGTGAAACCAATTGACTTACCAGTGTTTGAAGAAGTAACCATAGGGTACGTTCCTATCACAGGAACTTGTCAGTACATGTATTTCGGAGCAAGTGGATATTAGGCGAATATGCTAGGTTAAATCAGACGCACCAGAGTCAATATCCAACATCAAGGCATTGGCACCTTCGATTAGGATGGGAGTGCTGCTTTTTTCCACGCTCTGGATGAGCTCGATTTGATCAACGACATACGTGCGGAGCTGTTCACGGTAATCATCGAATCGCTTGATCTCGTCCTCGACATCGTACGACTTGAGAGCTTTCTTGCCATAACGCTTCTCGAACGCGTCATGCATCGTCCTGAGCCTGCCGTCAAACAGCTCCTTGTCGAAAATGTCGCCGATTCTCACTCCACTACGGCTAGCTTTCGTTGAGTAGCATGGGCCGATGCCACGTTTGGTTGTGCCGATCTCGCCTTTGCCAAGCTCCTGTTCCTCTGTGAAAGTGGATTTAGTTAAGTCGTACTCAAGCTCGAAACGAACTTGACAACCTACCGATTCTATCGGCCAGTTGATGAAGGTCAAAAACAATGTGTCTAATATGTCTGTTAGCACACTGTATAACCCAAGAGGAATAATATATGCCGCATACGCTCGATCCGAGATAAATATTCTGTCGGTGGCGTCCAGCCCACCTTGTTGAAGTTTGGACAGCTCTTTGAAAAAGGAAGGAATGTTGACAACGCATCCAGAGCCTATCTGATGATCTAGTGAGTATGTAGCTTGCTAAGATGAAGAGGTGACAATGGATACCAGATTAAGGCACTCGGGTGACAGAAGGCCCGAAGGAATGATATGACTACATTATTGTGTTAGCACAGAGCACCCATGCCTACAGAAAGCACGTGACATACAAGTCATATTTCCTTCCCTCGACAACGACCTGGTCGAGATGTCAGACATGTTCCAGCTTAGGGTAACGAAGGACCTCACCGTGTGTCCCGCATTGTCCCCGCCGGCTGGAACCACGGTCAGTATCTCCGAGCCATGGATGAAACTTCAAGGAAATTTGAGCATACCGGCTCGGGCGCAGAACTTGAACTTGGACCCATTGGAGAGTAACGCATCGATCAACTTGCCCTTGCCTCAAACAAAGTCAGCGAATGAAGCTACAGCACAAAGTCGTTTAGAGGTGCTAGTGCGGAACGTGAGACCAAAACCAGCCACGTGACGTGCAACCAATCAGCCTCATGTTGATCCCATCACGACAGGAGGCAAGCCACAGATTACCCTGCGCATGTGGCACGGTGGGGCTGGAGCTCGAATGAGGGGTAGAGGCTCACCTTCGTCCCCGAATTGGACACCCAGCACTATGGTGGCCATGATGGTCGAGGGCGCGGACAATTGGATGAATTGGCACGGCGCAACAAAGCTCTTGCGGCGGGCGAGGTCGAAAAATAAATACGTGGGACGCGCCGAGTGATGTCGTGCTTTTCTGCGGCTGCAAGCCGTGCCTGCCGCTTCAGCGTGGGGTCTGCTGAGTCACGTCGTTTTCCCGGGCAGTCGCCGCCGGGCTGTAGGCAAGTCGCCGAACTCGGAGCTCTGCAAGCACGCTGGGCAATTGACGCTGGGGTCTGAAATCATGGACTTTGAGCAGGATTGGAAAGCGGTGAGACACGCTGAAACGACCCACGGATATCCGCGGATATCCACGTGAAGTGGTGCTGCGTGAGGAGTCGCAAAAATCTGGTCGTCCATCTAGGGTCACCTCAACAAAATTTACTACGCAGGACCGGACAGCATACTCCTGTTTCCGAAGAAAGGCGAGAGATAAGCACGTGGTGCCAGGAAAGCAAAAAGTTTTCAAAAAAGGAAGGGTGCAGGATTTGAACCTGATGTGACTCGAACACACACTCTTCTGGATATTCCATCAGCTGGAATCAGACGCGTTACCATTACGCCACAGGTCCTGGGTGTCCAGTTTGGGTTGCAATCCCAGCTTTAGTATATATATAGCATAATTTTAGCCCACGAGACTGTCCAACCCTTTCATCGCCGGTTGCATGGCGGACAGCGACCGATTGGTCAGCTAGGCGACCCTCCGTTGCCGTGCCCCTGATCCCCCGTATCCGCCTGCTGAGTCTCCTCAAAGAAACGATGACCGGAAAGTCCGCAACGCAAGTTTCAGCAGTTTCTTAGCAACTTCGCCGGCGAAGATGCAACGCTGCCAACTCCAAGTCCGCAACTAGATGCAGCTTAGAGATATTCGCATCGACAGTTATGGATGGCCCGTGGCCCTCCAAGTTTGCAGTTCCGGCAGTACTGTCGCTGATCTCCTTTCTTTCGTTCTCATCGCAATACTTGATTTTACAGCTAGACCCTGGGCCCCTGGATTATCGGCAGACGTTAATTTTCAATTCTCTCATCGCATGCCTTCTCATCAGCTATGCTCGCGCTTGTGTCACGGATCCCGGACGGATCCCGGAAGACTGGCTAGATCAATTTGTGTCGAATGGGGAGTCGAAGTCGGATGAGAGTCGTCAACGAGCATCGAAGCTGCGGAGACGATGGTGTTCGAAATGCAACATTTACAAGCCACCCAGAGCGCATCACTGCAAAAGCTGCCAGAGGTTTGCGGAGACGACCTCAGCCACCTGTTTCGATATTTTGGACACTAATTTAAGGTAGATGCATTCTCAAAATGGATCATCACTGTCCTTGGACAGTGAATTGCGTCTCTCACGTGACATTTCCACATTTCATTCGCTTCGTCTTCTTCGCCGTAGCGGCGATGGCTTATTTGGAGAAGTTTCTCTATGACAGGGCGGCTGTGATTTGGGAAAATCGCCACCTGCCAAGTGTATGCCTTCTCTTGGGATTCCGCGTTATTAAGATGCTAAAAATTTATTCCAGTATCTCGGCCCTACGGTCTTCCAGCTTGTGCATTTCTTCCTTCTCGTAGCAGCCAATTCATTGACCCTGTTTGTCCTGGCTATCCTCTTAGTCCGCACTCTGTGGTGTTTGGCTGTCAATACGACGACGATTGAAGAGTGGGAAATTGAGCGCCATGAGACACTACTTCGCCGTGCTCGCTATCTCGGCGGTTATCTAAATGGCCCCGACGGACAGAGAGTGAGGATTGTAAAACAAGAATTTCCCTACGATATCGGCATCTGGAAGAACCTGAAACAAGGAATGGGGACGTGGAACGTATGTGTATCCTCAAACAGTTCCTAGGAACATCACCTATCGAGTCGTGTTGCTTAACAATTCACAGTTTCTTGCGTGGCTTTGGCCCCTGTCCGCATCACCATCTGTTGAAAGCGGTCTAGAGTTTGAAGAGAATGGGTTCGAAGGTTCGATCATTATTTCCAACCTCATTTAGTCTCGGGCTAATATATGTCTTAGATACCTCCGTGTCATGGCCTCCTCCGGACCCTGACAGGATACCTAGAATCAAGCGCACATTTAATTCCGAAGACGCGCTGGTTTACAATCAATATGGCCAAACCAATGATCGCGAAGATATCGAAGCCTTCCGTAGGCGCCAGGCAGAAGACCTGAAGCGCTGGAATAGCAATGCCGGTGGGATACAAAGGAGAAAGCCGTTTTACACGCGGGCGACGGAGGATGGGAGAATGTTCGACGGAAGCGACGCCAGTGATGTTGACATCGGCAATATGGAAGGTGGTGGTGAAGAAGGGTGGAGGAACTCAGAGGGCGAGAGGTTGAGGGATTTTGGCGTTGACGAGGACGTGGAGTTTTACGATGAGGACGACGTGCCTCTGGCAGAGCTTATTGCAAGGAAAAAGGCAAAGAACAACGCCATGTAATCCTAGAGCTATGATATTAAAGTAAAATGCTAGCCTTGCAAAACAAGTGTTCTATATCTAGTTATGGTATTGCCTAGATGTTGTGCCTGGAAGAATTACTTCGAGAATCCGAGTCTCTGTTACACAAAGTTGTAGGTTCGACAACCCAGCGTGGATAAAACCGGATTCAATTATACGGAAGCTGTTGTATAGGATTTTAAATCTTCCAAGATCAAGATTGAGGGGACGTTTGCTGAGAGTTCTACTGCCATTGATTAGGCGCATGAAGCCTAGGATAGAGATACTTGCAAATTAGTAGTCCAGGCAACCGGACGCGGCTTTTGTGGCTGCCTTGACCATCACCTCCGATCTCGGCATCGCCCATTGGTTATCCCCGCGCATTTAAGCGTATAATTAGTAGGCTATTCTGAAAATACGCAGATATCGCGAGTATTCAAATTTTGGAAATACAAAGCAGAATGGCTTCTCAACCACCAAAAGACCAGTGGTCCTCCAAGGTATGATGGACTACAAACCCTTTTGTTTTCCCACTGGACCAGACTACACTTACCAGAATGGGTTGAGCGCGCTAATGATCACAATAGACGTATAATGAGGCTGGCGGATTTGTTCCCAAATTAGCCAGCAAAGTTGTAGAGCTGCTCTCTCCTTCTCCGTCAGATCATATCTTAGATATTGGTTGTGGCGATGGCCCTCTTACCGCACAGATTGCGCAGACCATTCCATCCGGAAAGATCCTCGGCCTCGATGCCTCTGAGTCCATGATAAAAACGGCGAAGGAAAAGTTCACTTCCACAAACTGCACCTTTGAACGACAAGACTGTGCCCAATTGAACGGCACCGCATTTGCGCAAGGCCAGTGGGACAAAGTCTTTTCGAACGCGGCCTTCCACTGGATCCTCGGAGCGGCGGAAAACCATTTGACAGTTTTTCGCGGCCTGTTCGCCGCCCTCCGGCCTGGCGGCACTCTGGTTTTTGAAATGGGCGGCGCTGGCAATATCGCGGAGGTGCACACGGCATTGATAGGCTCGCTCATGGCCCATGGAATGTCTAAATCCGCGGCCGAAAAAGCGAATCCGTGGTGCTTTCCGAGCGTCGAGGAGATGCGGAACTTCCTCAGCCAGGCAGGGTTCGACATCTCCTTGGTAGAGTCTGAGTACCGGCCCACGAGACTTACAGACAAGAGCAGGGATGGAGGTGGAGGCCTCGAGGGTTGGATTCGGCTCTTTGGGGACTCGTTTCTTCAGGTGGTACCGGAGGAAAAGAGAGACGAGATTGTCAGCTGGGCGGCGGACTGCCTAGAAAGCATTGTGACGAGGGACGGCGGGAGCCAATGGCTTGGGTACGTTCGGCTGAGGGCCGTTGCAAGGAAACCGATGTGAGAGTGAAAGCATGGATCCAGATCCACAAGGCCTGCCTGCCTCGCAGACCCCGACGCTATCTCACAGCATTTGCTTTTTAATGATCCAACATCCTACTGAGACGGCTAATTTGTGGGCGAGTTACCTGTCGAGCGGAATGAGGCGTAGGACATACGTAGTACTGAGATACAGGCCCCACGGCGCCAAGCGGATACGACAAGGCGGTAATGTAGTATATTCGACACAGTATCAGTGTTCTTGATGCGCAATGCGTCAGCCCTACGGTGAGGACGGTTGAGCTGTCGAGTACATATGTAGACGGAGAATGTGACAGATCCAAATTACCATTTTCGGTGCGGTCGCGACTCGCAGGTCTGCCGTGGTGGGTCTGGGTTTGTGGCAGGCAATGCCGACGCCATGCAGCTGAAAGCCGGACTCGGGCAGGCGTTATTATTAGACGTGGCTGCCAGCCCTCACATATTAGCATCGTCCCACACGCCAGGTTTACATTGCAGCTGCGCGATGCCCAAGATGCCGTTGTACAACATTGATCTTGTGTTCTGAGCCCCCTTCTTCGCGTGGCTCGCGTGCTGCAGGCCCGCTTGGCTGCTCTGCAAGGGCGCTCCTGGAGCCCTAGTGCCGTGCTAACGCCCTCAATTTGCCTGAGTCGGGATACCCTTCCAAACGGTCGAGGTTAAACCTTCGACTATCGAGTGGGTCGCGCGACAAGGGTAATCTGGTCGGGCAAACGGTTCCCAGCCGTCCGCGCAAACATGTGTCCAACCTGCTCGTGAAGCGAAACGCCGGGATGACAACGGGACCTGAGCGAAGGCGGCGACCGCAGTCCCTCGCCAGGGTCGCGCCGGCCTGAGCGCCATCGGGGCGGCTGCAAAGCTGGGGGCGCCAGGCTAACGGCTGCTCCAAGGCGCGAGACTCGGGGGGAAGCGCACGGGAAACAGCATGAAGGAGCGGCAGTGGAGCCGCCGGGGCTCAGGGGCAGCGCTATTTCACCGCTCGCTCTTTTAAGATCGCCGCAGATCGGCTAGGGGCCCACGCCGGCCGCTCTTGCGCAACTCGTGGCTTCGACGCCCCACAGCGATCAACAACCCGGCCGCCGCCAGCCCGCGCCCTCCGCCGTCGCGTCCCTTTTCAGCCTCAGCCTCCGCCTTCCCTCCGCATTCCCTCCGCACTCCCGCCCTGCTGCCAGACGCTTTAACACGCCCGATCCCCCCGTCCCGTGAAGCAATTGGCCCCCGCCGCCATGCCACGCCTGCTCCCGCCCGCCGACATGCTCGCTTGACGGACGTCTGAGCTGCGTCCGGAGAGCCCGAGGGCGTCAGCGCGCCCGGAATGCGAGACCAGATCCTCGGGATGGGCGGCCAGGCCGCTTCGCTCGAGAATCCCTTGCCGATCCAGAAGCGCACATCGTCTCTCAATCATGTCCGACAGACCACCCACTCCCACCTGCCTTCCGGTCGAACGCCTCCGCCTCCCGATGGACGTGGCCAAGCCGGCCAAGAGGCTCCGGCCGAGCGCCAAACCTCGGACTCCAGTCCTCCTCCAGGCGGCCGTCATGCGCCGCCCCAAATTATCATAACCTCAAAACTGCCCGGCGACGGGCAGGATGTCTGCCAGGACACGTACTCTGCGCCGGAAGCCGGCGAAAGAAGCGAGTCTCCCAAGCTCTCCCTGTCCTCCCAGGCCTTGCTGGAATCGTCGGAATCCCAGCCGGCCCCGGACCCTTACATTCCCGACCGCTTCGAGCTCGACGTCGTC